TTGAAAGCTCTAAAATATTTATTATTAAAATTTAAAAGTCAATTATTGACATAGTTTGAAGTTTAAAAATGAATGAAATTTTAAAAATTGAGCGGATCATAATAAAGATTGAGAATCAGATTGTAATGGGTCAAATTTATAATGATAGAGTAATTAATTTTTAAAAAATTATTGAAAATTCTTTTATTATAAAATTTGTTTTGAAAAGTACCTGAAATTTATTCGAGATAAATTGTATATAGCCGGAGATATATAGTTATATTCTTTTTGATAAATAATCAAAATTATATTTATCAAAACAGAATTATACTTATTTAAGGACCTAGGTCCCTTAGTAAATTTAAGTAATTATAATAAAATGTTTGTTTTATAGCAATTTTTTTATTTTTGCAAATACTTATTTTGAGTCGCTTAATATAAAATGGCAGTCTCATAAATCATGACTTTTGAAAGTTACAATTGCTATTTTAAGAGTTTATTTGAAATAATTTATAAGTAATTTTTTATTTATGATTTATGAACATCTTGATCTAAATGAGCACTAAACAAGTTCCTTAATTTTGATTTTTTAACCCTAATTATACTAAAAAGAAGAGGGAGGGGAAGATATTTTAGCTCAAGGTCTGACAGTTATCCTATCCATTTACTTTTTGGGGGGGGGGGGTCACAGTACAGTCAGCTGTGCAACCACATACATGTGGGGCCATCGTTGTTATAAGCCACACTATTAACTTTTCATATTTCTCTCTCCTCCACGTGAAGCATCAATTCCTAAGGGCTAAGGCCGTCTTTGGAGGGCGTGTTAGACTTCGGAATCCATGCTATTCACTTGCCCTGGCCCCGCAATTTTTTGTGTGCCCCAAACATCATCATCATCCATGAGCATCCTAATGAAAAACATGCCAAAATCGAGAGAAAATCCAAAAAACTTGGGTATGAATTTGTAAAAACGAGAACGACAGGAAAAGAAATTACAAATTACAAATTCCAAATATAACGTAATTTTATTAGGTATTGATAAGTTTGAATTTATAAATGATACTCCCTCCGTTTCTTATTATAAGAGACAAATACCGAATTATGTTGATAAAAAAACAGTTAAAATTAGTTAATAATAATTAATGTGTAAAAAATATAATTTTTTTTCAAAAATACCCTCATTAATAAGGAGAGAGAGCATGAGAGAGAACAATGGTAAATTATTAAAAGAAAGAAAAGTGGAAAGGAGAGAGAATGTAAGTTGGAGACAATAAATATGGGTAAAATAGGAAATCAACACAAAAAAGTAGAGACAACTTTTAAGTGTCTTTTATATATAGGAACATGTCATAAGCATTAAATGTCTCTTATATAAGGAATGGAGGGAGTAATAAATTTTGATGACATTTTTTGTTTGGCATTTATAAAATTCTAGTTTTTTTTTTTGGTTATTGTCCCTTTGTAAAATTCAATGGAAACGCTCCGTAATTAATTAAAATATTAAGATGTTAGTGGTTTTGGTTTTTACAATATCTCTTTCACTTAAAAAAAAAAGACAATGATAGAAAAAGAAGCTGAAAATTACAAATCCCAAATTAGGTTTAGTAACACAATATTATTTAGTATTGACAAGTTTAATTTACAAATGAAAATAAATTTTTGTTGATATTTTTTGTTTGGTATTTACAAAATTCCAACTTCTTTTTTTGTCACTGTCCCTTAAAAAAAATAAAAAATACACCAATTTGTAGGCATTTTTAGAAATTTTTGATAGTATGGTGGTGGGGTAGGGCTGTGCAAAAACCCAGTGGTCCAGTATGGTCCGGTCCAACCCAACCAAACATAGTCCAGTCTGGTCCAGAAAAAATTGTCCCGAAACAAGACTAGAGCAGACTGGACTGAACTGGTCTCATCGTGCTAGATTGGACTGGGGACTGGCCCTCTCAGACCAGTTGGTCCAGTCTAGTCTAGGCCGGTTTTTCTTTAATTATTATTTATATAATTTTAATTTGATTTAATTTTTCTATATAAGTTTTTGGTCTATTCAAATAATCAAGATTTATCTATTAACTTCTTAAGTAATGAGCATGCGTATATACTTTCTACAATATAAGATCTATATTAATGAGGATTAATTAATAAAACATGACATTATCGGGAAATTGAAAGGGAATGATCAAATTTGATGAACTTTGAATTAAAATATGTGCAAAATTTTATATAGTAAGTTACAATCTTACCTCCTATTGAAGAAAAATTAAAAAAGAATAAAAATTTAGGTCCTAGACTGCCTGGACCAACTCTAATCCAACCCGACCTCGGATTGGTACTGGACTGGACCAGATCTCGGGCTGTCTTTTTCAACTCGAGGTCTTTATTGGACCAGACTTCGGGCTGATAACAAACCTGATCCAGTCTGGTCCACACGCACCCCTAGTGGTGGGGTAAGATTTGATTCCATCCTGTTAGTTGTTTATCATAAGGGCAAATATATAATTTAAGATAGAGTAAAATATTCTGACTCATTCTAATTTACATCAATTACACAGATCTCTCTTTTATTTTAAAAACTTACAATTTAGTCCAATTAGTTAACACTGTTAGGAATATTTTAAAATATTATTTTAACTGAAATTTATATTAAAATAAAATTTATTTATTATTTTATTCTTCCTTCTAATAAATTTCTAAATTATTTTTTATAGTTACATCAATTTTATTATGTTAAAACAAACATAAAAGATTTGATTAAAAATTTAACTAATTTTATGAAATTTTATGATTTAAAGTAAAATATGAAATTATAAATTCTTATTATTTAGACCAAAATTAATAAATTTTATACCATATTAGAAATTTTAAAGACAATTATTTTTGAAACATATAGATGTCTAAATAATTATTAATTTAAAAAGGGACATTTTGATTAAAAAAATAATCTAAAGTCACAGTCAACATTCAACTAACTATTTGAGTGGATGAAAATAAAATTTTAAACATAGAAGAGAAGGTCATGTAACATATGTTTTAGCTGTAAAAAAATTTATATACGTTTTCAAATAAAAAGAGGGTTTTATAATTGAGATAAAATAAAAGAATAATCAATATACTTTACTCTTTAAGGTAAAATTCTTTTCACCTATTTATTCTGTATATTATAAATCATAATTAAAAAGTTACTTCTAAAAACTTCCATTATAATTCTAAATAAGTCTTGACCGTATATAAAACATGAGTTCGTTGAGCTTTCACTTAATTTCGTTGATCAGTTTTGAATTGCAGTTGGCAAAACAAAAATATAAAATTGAATTTGGAATAAAGTACAACATGTTGCTTTATTGGATAAACTTTGACTAACAGTATTCATTTTGAATTTTATATAAATACATGAAATTTCAATCTAATTTTTCAAAACAATTTTTCTTGAGGAATATGTCGAAGTGACAAGAAAATGATGTGCACCTAGCAACTAGGGACGTAGGATTAGAGCTATAGCTACAAGATGTGGTTAGGACCACTTATTTTTCATACCTCGTCTCAAAAGGTGTTTCGAAAAATGTCTTATAATAAGCATCAAAGGAGCTGGCCGTGTTGTCTTCTAAACAGTGTCTTCTAGTTGTTATGAATAATACATATAATTATATCTTCATCAGTTTTTTAATATAAAATCTATTTAATTAATTTGATTAAATTAAAAAAGTTATATAAATTAGTTAATTATAAAAAATATGACACGTTTTTCTAAAATATCATAATCATTTTTTTTAATGCTCCCTCTTTTTCTTCTACTTAATTATGGTTGGAAGAGTATGTATCGGGATAATTTAGGAACAAAACCAACTCAACAATTAGGTCCTATATTAAAACCGGAGGAGTATATATGTATATATTAAAAGAGGATTTTTTCTTACTGTTTAAAATATTATCAGACACTAAATATAAACACATTTCTTAAAATTTTTTTTACTATTGATCTGTCATGCTGTGATGAGATACTGAAATTATAAAAAAAAGTAGTTAGTTGTTCATGTCAAGAGTATAAAAGGAATACTGCTTTATTTGAATGGGCCTGAAATTCCCAAGTTTGAATCTGGATTGAGGCTTTAGTGATTAGTGGGCCTTGGGCATGTTTTTTTGGATCTACCAAATAAGTGTTTTTCAGAAAATTGCTCGACAATCCCTATTTGCAAAATTTAGTGTCCAGATGTACCCAAGTCTTTGAACAAATACAACACCTCTTCATGTTTGTGCAATATATCGTTACCTAGTAGCTCAAGAAATACTGCACATAAGTAAAGAATAATTGCACATAAGCCCTTGAATCAAATTTTAGGCACATTTGGGCAATAAATTTTACAATGGGCTAATCTTTTCTTTCCCCACCTAAAATATAATTAAAAGAAAAAAGTTCATTTCGGTCAATCATCATCATCATCATCATTTTTCATAATTTTTTTTAATGTTTAATGCATGTGTCTAAAATTCTCATCATTTTCCCTTAATTTAGACTTAAGTATTATTATTTTTTGTGTGTTTTTGTCTACACTTGAGAAAGTAGGGCTGTGATTAGATTTTGGTAATGGTTAGAAAACAATGAATAAAAAAATTAACTGCAGAAAAATTAGATTTTTAAAAAAATAAGGACATGAAAAGAATTTTGTCTCATAAAACATTACATTTTTAAAAAAAAGTAATTATGCTTTTTTTTTTTAACTAAAGTATAGATATCTTCCTATTAGAAGCAATCCTATTCAAAGCACTGTGGGCATTAAATGTTGACACCTTTCTAGCGGAGATTCGAATCTTGACTTGTTATGTTGTGAGGAGTTAATCCTTCTTCTTGATCCAATCTTGTTGGTAATTATGCCATTTTGTCCAACAAGCATAGTTTAGGCGATAGCTCCAAAAATGGGTTTTGGGCTTCTAAAATCCCAAACAAGGACTTCTTTTTTTCTGGCGATTTTGAGTCATGGCCCGCGCACTTCCAGAAACACTGATTTAGTTCCCGCAAACGCTCGGTTGCGAGGAACGCCGATCATTAATCGAATCGAGATAACACACTAAGACGATCCCCCGCAGCATTCTCGCCGTTTTCTGCTGTTCGCTGGCCGCCCATCTCAGCTGGTCGAGTTGGACTTCTTGACCGTGAGCCGCGGAGGTAATTTTCGAATCCCCCTCTCCCATCCTGGAAACTCTTCTATTTTCCCCCTATTCCTCGCTACGCTTCTTGTTGTTATCTTGGCTTTTCTATTAAAATGCGTGAACTCTATTCCCCAGTTTTAGTTCCGGGACATGGACGGTATTTAGCTGGCTGCCTTCAATTTTAGAGGGAATATCGGTTTCCTATTTTACTAATTTTCGTTCTTAAACCATTGGTGGTGTTTTTCTAGTTTGTGAATATTAGCTTCTTATTTGTTCTATAAACTGTTGATTTTGAGTGAATTCTCTGTTAGTATTCTGAATTCAGTGGGAACTTGTTGAATAGCTTAACAATGTCAATGAGAATCCTTTGGTGCAACCTTTATCGAACAAAAAAGGAAAAGAAGGAAGGAAGAAAGCGCTGACGTAGTGATGTATTTAGACTGAGAAATGGTTCAGAAGATGCAGGCATTCTTCCTGCTTCCGTTAGGGTTTTAGAGAGTTTCAGTTTGCCTTCATTTCTTTTCACGTACCAGTGACTACGCGTAGGAGCCCAAGCTAACGCAGTTCTTCAGTTTGTACTTCATTGTTTTCCCACATAATTGACTGCATTCAACACTGCATTCTAATATTCTTTTACTCCATAGTACATCTCCGTGCCTAGAAATAATAATTGATCATGGTATCAACTCATATGGTACACATGTACAATATATCGTTCTTTTATTATCTGTTTCTGTGTTTTTAAATTTGTTTACATTTTGTTACGGTGCATTAAACTAGTTTTATAGGATATCTCATGCTTTTATTTCATTATAAGAGTGTTTCATGTCTTTGGATAAGCTTTGCTTGTCAACATGGCATGATGCCCTGTAGCTGATTGACAAAATGCTTGAGAAAGAAGGGCAACGATTTCTTGTACAGGTACCCTGGCCTTGGGTTTCACAGAGTCACAGACCTCTTGTTGCGTGTTGTACTTCAAGACATTGAGAAATTTTGGCCTAAGAATAGACAATGCTTCATATGAAACCAATTTACCAAGCATGTAAAGCATCCCCTAGCATTGCTATAAGCAAAGTAACTGTTACCCAGCAATATTTGATTGCATGCATTTTTCCTTCACTCGCCTGAAAAACTGAGCTGATGCATTTTACATTTTTTCTTGTATTTCTGTCTTTTCAAAATTTGAAAATTCTTTTAAAGCCAAATTTCACTCAAGTTACATTTTCGTGTGAGGTGTTCAAAGAGACAGCTGAGGCAACCAAAAGTGATTCTGTTACTTGGTATTGCAATATTATCTTGTAATGTCAGAGTATTTTGTACTTAATTATTATACTGAGCCAAAATCTGAGATTAGACTTAATGAATTCTTTGGTATCTATTCAAATATGATATTTATGTTGCAGGAACTATATAATTGAATCTGGTGCATGACCTTACCCCTGTACAATGGCTGATTCATCATCTGATTCGTCATTTTTTGATCGTATGATCAGCCAGCTTCGTACAACATGCAAGTATGACTTCCTATATCTGGTGCTTAATGAAAACTGTTCTAGCTGCAACTGTCAATGTCTCTTTGTTATAGAGTTGTGGGACTTGACTGACTGACTGTCTTTTATTAATTTTTGCTGCCACAATTTTTTCTGTCTAGTATGTTTCTGTCTCTAATAAGCACCAACTTGTCAATTCTCTTAAACCTTTTCCCCTTGTTACCCCCTTTCTTTGGTGCAATTTAATATTTATTTTCTTGTGTTGATGATAGGTATTATACTGGCTATCCAAAGGACCTTGGACCATCAAGGGTTATTCATTTTACCTCAGAGCGTCAGTTTATCAAGCTCCTTCAGGAAGATTCTCCTGTCGTTGTTGCATTTACTATCAGGTAGAATTAGCCTGATCCCCCATCCAACCCGAATTCGATGTTGACTTTAGGTCCAAAATTGTGAAGAAAATGAGAAAAGAAAAGATTTTGGAATAACCACAAGCTAATTATAATGCAGGGGTAACTACACGAAACATCTTGACAAGGTATTGGAGGAAGCTGCTGCTGAGTTTTATCCAAGTGTTAAATTTATGCGCGTAAGTTGTCATTAACAGCCAACTGTAAGTGTTGAAACTTAAGTCAATGACACAACACTTTATAAAGCATATTATTCACTTCTCTATTGATAGAAACACAAAAACATGTGTAGAAGAGGCATTGATGTAGTTATTAACTTCTGATGACTTGTAATTTTAATTTCAAGGACTTCAGCCTTAAAGTAGAATTAGTCTAGTCAAATCCTCCTCTTTATACCGGTGGCACCTATTTTCCCATTTACTACACTTCTATGTGCAGTCTAGATTTGTATTACTCTTTGCTGAAATGATTATGTTATGCTATTTTCCAGGTTGAGTGTCCAAAATATCCTGGGTTTTGCATAACACGACAGAGAAAGGAGTATCCGTTTATTGAAATATATCACAGCCCGGAGAAGGTACAGTACACCTCACATTGTTTGCTACGATATTCCTGCTCTGTCTCAAAATCTCATGGAAAGAGATCGTAATAGTCTCACAGACGCATTCCATGGCATGATTAACCCGAAAGCATGTTCTATCATGTTCTTGCAATAGGCCAATCTTTGTCGTGATTACCTGTCCATTAAAACCCTTACTGACTTTGCTTTTCCATACAGGCAGCGAACCAGGGAAGGATGGCTGATCCAAATATTATTAAATACAACGTGATGGTCTTACCTGTAAGTTATGGGGCCTGTTTATAAATTATCCCCGCTGTTGACCGCCCTCCATAAAAACCAAATTAGATGTTCTACACTCATATATCTATGCATTTGGAGAAAAAGCAATCCTCCTCTGGTCCTTAATGTAGGATCTAATTAGGGAGTTGGTGTTGGTTTTATATGTAAGGCTTATTTCATATGTTTATAAATTTTTTTTCAAAATAGCCCTATTGATATTCTGCCAACAATAATCAAATAGAGAGGAGGAAGGGAGGAAATTAATGAAGATGTTTTAGGAAAATCATATCACATTAACTAATTTAACTAATATCCTTGATTTATTCAAATTAGTTAATTATGTCTTAGATTGAGGGCCGGAGTAGTATAGAAGATATGATTATGTTTGAGGTTCACATTTATAATGTGTTTTCGCCTAATCTCTCTTCAAATACACTCTGCATTTAGTATTGTGGAGGTAGAAGATCTAAGTGTTAGTGTCTGCTTTAAATAACTTAGTGAAAGTTTGCTGGATTTATCTATATCCGTTGAATACTGATGAGCTGTGTCAAAATTTTCATTTAAATATGCAGTTTAATTACGACCTCAGTGTCTATGGATTTAGAGAGTATTTTAAGCGCCATGGAATACAGGCATCAAGCCCCAAGTAAAGATAATGCGAAAGGTTTGAATTTAACACAACCATTAATTAATGGAATAATATGTGCATACTTGCATATTCTGTGTTTGATCCTGTGAAGGATTTGCCTGCTTTATTTTCTCTTCTGTATTTAGGAATGTAGTAAACTCACGCAAAGGAAAAAGATATGTTGTAGATTTCTTCGACTATTAACGCTGTAGATGGCTCTTACTTAGAAGAAACATGTTATAAGTGTCACCTTTGATTTTTATGCAGTTTCAAGTATTGGCCAAAAAAAAAAAAATTCTCTTGAATTCTATATAATAATGTTCGGTAGGGAGGGAGCAGGAGGGACTCACGCCTGAACGTTGCATCGCTTGTGGTTTGTGATTTATTATTGATGTTATATTGTATACTGATGGCTTTCGTATATTGTCTCATTGAACACAATCTTTACCTATGTCTTAAATACTCGTCACACCCAACAAAAACCCACAGCATAAATTCCGAAATTTTGCAGCTCAGTTTTAAAATTTTTTTGGGGGGTTTTTTAAAGAATTTATGTTGCCCAGCATATTACCGCATATGATAGTCGGATGATAGGTTCATTAATTAGAGTTTAAAATCTGCATTCTGAAGAATAAATCTCCCTCGTTTTTTCCTTTTTCTTTTTGAAAAAGAAAAAATATTCGATCTCTGAAGTTTCACTGAACTTGTAATGTAGTCCTTGTGCTTGACTCATCATGGTTCACTTCTAATACCTTTCTTTTGCCCCCTTATCTCCATCCGTTCCTATGTTTCTGAGACTAGGAGAAGTCCCTTATTACCTGTGCTATGTGATAGTGATAACAATTAACAGTGTATTTTCCCATTAGGTAGGGTTTAAGGAGGTAGATGTACGCATTTGTTCTTATAAACAGAGGCTGTTTCTGGGGATTTAAACTTACAACTTTCAGATCATTTGACAGCAACCATTATTGTTGCTTCAAGACTCATTTGCACAAGTCCCACATCTGAATAAATAAATTGAGATTATTTTTTCTTGTTGGTTTGTAAGAGCGGGTTTCATTGAAAACTGTGTTGATGAAAATTTCCTTATCATTGAATAGGATCCAACAGCTTGTTACGCACATGCAAATAAAATAGAGAAAATAATTAAAAAAATACTTATTGAATTTTAAAATGATAAATAGGTGATTCTGATATATTTTCACGTGTCAAAGCATCATTATAAGAATAGTCGTCAATTATTTTGTCATTTTTTTTTTCAAATAATAAGAATATGGACTCTGGTATGGAGCAATTCATTTCAATTTGGGAGGAGACTGGACGTGACATTATAGACCCCTCTAGCTATCTATTGTCAATGTATTAATGGCTGCCCCAAAGCCAAATGCCATTAACTTGAGGAAAGGGCAACAAAGCCAGTTGTCAGCAACCTTTATTGTGAATCCCGTGACCCCCAAAAGAAAAAAAAACTACTCTTTCAATTCTTAATCCGAGAGTCAATTCATTTAAATAAGTTTAAAAATTTTAATATATTATTTAATTCTAATAAATATGATCTAATTTTCTTAAAATATCACTATATAACATTAGATTATGGGGCTTTGTAAGTTAGATAAATTAGTGTGAAAAATGATAATAACAAAGAAAATTTGAATCAAATTCTTACATTTAGGATTAAAATTAATTCCTTAATTATCTATTACATTTGAGTAAGCAAACTTAAGGCACAAAATTACATGGAGAGAATATATTAAAATTAAATGAAACCAGGGGAATGAAGCAAAACATGATGCAAAATTAAAAAAAACAATTATTTTTTTTTACTTTTTATTAAGAAAGTGATAACTTGTCATGCTGCTGCGTTTGGAATAATCATTTTTATTATGAAAAAAAACAGAAATAATACTTTTAGTTTATCTTAAAAGAAGTTCTATCTTTTGAATATATGGCCGACAAAGCAGAAATAGAAAAGACATTTTGATTCCTTATATTTGAATAGAAAAATGTGAATATTCCTTCCATTTTCAGTCCCACTCCTTTTCTTAATAATAAAATGATTCTTTTGTCAGTTAGTGGGCCTAACATGACTGTCCACTTCATCTAATTCCTTAAATTGAACAAAAGAAATTCTGACTATGATTGATTTCTATTTCAGAAAAATGATTTAAAATATGATTTACATATGACATGAATAACCTATTAAAAATATCAATCTTGGTGAAAAATAAAATTACTGGCTGCCGTCCTTAATATAAAAACTAGTTAACTAATTTGATTAGATTATGAAAATTAATTAAATTAGTTATTTGTAATAAATAAGTGTTGTTTTTCTAAAATATTTTTGCTAATATGTGTATTAGTTAGAACTACTGCTTGATAGAACTTTAACATGTACGACTACTATAAGAACTACTTTATTAAAAAATATAAGAGACAAAAATTATTAGGGTATTATATTAGAATTAAAATAATTGAAAGTCATATACTTACACTAACTTCTATAATAAGGAACGAGGGTAGTACATTTTTATTATGTTATTACTCTTCCGTTTTCAAACAACAGCCATTTTTTAAAATTTTGACTTTGTTTTCAAACTTTTGTCCTTTAGAATTTCAATGACGCATCATCTATTTTTCGAATAATAAAATAATAGTACCTTGTTAGCATAATATTAATGTATTTCATTAAGAGAAACATACCCTAATGTTATTTTTTAGTAGTACTCAACACTTTAATTTTATTTATAGTATATCCAATATCTTGATGCTATTGTCTGTTACATTTAACATCTTAATCTTATTCATGACTTGGGTGCTAAATGTATTGTAAATAATTTTAGAGTGCTAGAAGTATCAAAAAAATCACATGAGATTTTGGATGTACCATAAATGAGATTAAAGTGCTAGATGTTATTTAAAAATA